TTCTGTCCGGCTGCATGACGACCTGGTATGGCATGTTTGGTGGGGGAGCTCAGTCTCTTTGACAGCTCTTGATGCATCCATTGGTATGTGCATGATAGTTTATGCCTTAAGAACCTGTAAGAAAGCGTTTTAGAGGCATAGTATAAAAGTGTTGCATGAATAGATTGTAGTAAAAGGTCCTTCTGATTTCTCAGTTTAGCTATAGACAGTAAGTACCAGTGGATTTCTTTTTTGCACATTCTTTGACACAAGAACCTGGAAAATGTTCAGATAAGGAACAATTTTAATTAACAGGTGTCTGTACTGTACATATTACACATTTTCCTGACTATTATTATTATCTATCCCTCCATCCATCCAAATACTTTTTTCCATCTCTCCAATGGTGGCTTGTGAGGGCAATTCAATTAAATTTTATTTTATTTATACAACGCCAAAGGCGCCTGTTATTGTGATTTGGTGGCAGCAGCAGCCTGAGCAGAGAAGCTCAAACCTCATTCTCCCTAGGCCCCTTATCAAACGTATCCCCCGGAGCACTGAGATATATCAGGCCATCAAAGAGATACAATATCTCCATTGTACCTTGGGTTTACCCTGGGGCCTCCTCCAGGAAGGACACGTTTGGAAGGCCTCACACGGGAGGTTTCCAGGAGCCAACCTAGTCTGAAGGCTGAACTACCGCAACTGTTACCTTGCGATGTGGAGGAGCAGTGGCTCTACTCTGAGCCTGTCTTGAATGAACCACACTGAACTATTCACTTTTCTTTCTGTTCTCTAGAGGAAAGCCCAGCAAAAACTTTGAGGAAAATTAATCTCCCCGACTTGTTTTTCGGTCACTATCCAATCAGGATCTCTCACTCAGGAACAAATGAGATACCTAAACTCCTCCACTTGGAGAAGAAACTCTTCCCTTATTAAAAGTGGCTACTCCAGCCTTTTCTGGCTGACTGCTATGGACTCAGACCTGATTCTCATTCCCGTTCTCTCACAATAGACTGCAAATCGCTCCAGTGCGAGCTCGATGCTCACACTACCTGATGAAACCAACAGGACCACATCATCTACAAAAAAAGGACAGATGAGATGATGAGGCCACCAACCCGTAAGCCTTTAGTCACTTGGCTTCACCTAGAAATTCACCAAAAAATGGCACCTCACCAGACATGAATCCCTCTTATTGTTGGCATTTCAGACAAGCTCTTGTCACAATCGTACACGGTTGTAGCTTGTAACGGGCCCCATAGTCCTTAAGCACCACCTAAGTATACCCCAAGGGATGCTGTTGAATGCCACCTCCAAGTTTACAAAACTCATGTAGACTGGATGGCCAAACTCCCATAAACACTTGAAAGTGTGTGAGTTCAATAAAGAGCTGGTACCAGCATGAAAACCAAATTGTTCTTCCTGGATTTGAAGTTCGACTAATGGACAAACTTTCTTTTCCTTTACCCTAGCACAAACATTCCCAGGGAGGCTGAGGAGAGCCGTCTCCCTCTAGTTGGAGCACACCCTTTCAGTCCCCCTTCTTAAATATAGAAACTATCACTCAAGTCTCTCATTTCACAGGCACCACCCCAGATCGCCATGCAACATGCAACAGCCAGAGTGTTAAGGAACTCAGGGAAAACCTCATCCAGGGGCCCAGCCATCAAACTACCTCAGTGACCTTGACCCCAGTGATGTTTGAGTTCTTCTACAGGAAATTTGTCAGTGGGATTAAGGAGGTCATCAAAGTATTCCCTCCACCATCCAACTAGTTGAAGTCAGCAGCACTCCACCTGCACCAGAATTGCCTCAAGCCAAAAGGCTGTTCCCATGGCCTCCCCAAACTCCTCCCACACCCAGGTTGTGCTTTAGCAATCACCTGAGCTGTGAACAAAGTGAAATTTGATTTTCTGTTTTTTGACAGAATGCAGGGGATGGTGGGACCATGTTAACTGTTGGCCCCATGCTGCAGTTGGAGATGTTGTGTCTCAGCCATGTCCTGGATTTCTACACACCACTGGTTAGTAGTAGGGCCATACAGTAGTGCATATTTTTAAACTCATAGCTTGGCTATGTTAGTCACATGATTATCCCTGTGTTGCGGTAGTTTCTACATCATGTAAGTCTAGAATCAGTATCACAATTTACCAGTGATGCTGTCTGAGCATTCAGTTAGCATTAACCAAGAAACAAGCTAATGTTATTAAAAACAAACATGAACAAACTAACATAAGTTTAATATAACAGCACAACCAATTTCACAATATATTTATTATATGTATCATAAATATATTAATATATTGTATAAATTAATAAAGAAAACACTTGAAATGCTTACTATTTCTACCACAAAAGAGTTTTCTATAAACAAGTACATTTCCCCCCACATTGCACAGTAATGGCATCACAAAGACATGATTGTTCAGTTGCAATGTTGATCCTGGACCAACACTCCTGATAACAAAGAAACAACAACACAGGGATGTTAGATACTTTAGGTCTTACCTTGATGTCCGTGGTGAGCTGGAGTGAACCTCTAGGATTGTGGTATAATTAGATTCACACACTCATTGTCTCCAGGGGGTTGAACTAGATTAACCTTTATCCTATATATTACAAAAAAACCCTAAATTTCTGCTATTGTTTTTTATGTGTTAACAATAAAACACATTGTATATATGTGTCCCATTTCTGTAGGGCAAGTTTTCAGGAACTGCACAGAGCTTGGCTGGACTGATCCCTACCCTCCACATGATATAGCATGCGAGTATGGCTTTAATGAAAGCCTTCCTCTAGAAGTAAGCCTCTTCCTTCTTCCTTTCATGCTGTAGTACTCAGTCACCCATTGAACTAACTGAAGGGGGGTAACAAAACCTGTCTCCCCACTCGGTTATGTTCCCATGTCTGTTTCCTCCCAGTCCTTG